AATCTTCATATTGTAACAGTGAAATATTTCCCAAATATTATTGATTCTTTCAAAATAAGAATTATATTCTGTATTCTGGCTATAAGAATGCTTGTGAAATAGTTAGCCCTTTTTTTTTTGGAGGGGGAGAGCATCCCTAATCAGTTATCGGGATGTTCATCGAGTTCCCATCAAATCTCAGCTCAAATCAGCTGCCAGGGCCCGAGCGCCAAAGAACTGTTATTCATTCCTGTCATTAAATCTTTTAATTGTTCCTTTTTCTTTGTCTGAGTCTCTCCAGATTGAAATGGAGCTGATAGCGAAAGTTCAAGCTGGAAGACTCTGCCCCCTCTGTTCGCCCATCAGCGTCATGCTCATCTCCGACCTCAGCACTGGACCTCACCCGACGCGTCCAATCATCATCAAGCTCTGCACAAAAGGATCCAAACCCAAGCCGTCAAGTCGGTTCCCATCTGCGTTCAACCCACCACTGCCCCTTCTCCACCCACAATCTTCGGCTCTCCAGGATAGCACCCTTTCCCAACCTCCACCACCAGTGTCGGGCCCCAGGGGAGAGCATCCCTAATCAGTTATCGGGATGTTCATCGAGTTCACATCAAATCAGCTGCCGGGGCCTGAGCGCCAAAGAACTGTTACTCATTCCTGTCATTAAATCTTTTAATTGTTCCTTTTTCTTCGTCTGAGTCTCTCCAGATTGAATTTATATTACAGTCAGCAATTGTAACTATTTTACCATTTTTGTTGTAAATTTACAGACTTACTTTGCAGTATTGACTGATGGTGATTCCATGTATTTTCTATGGTAATAAAATGTTTCGGATTTTACAGTCAGAAACTGTTGTATTTTACCCATTTTTTTTACCGTGAAATTTACAGGCTTTTTTGCAGTGTAGCAACAACCTGTTCAGTAACTTGCACAGTAGCAATTTCAGGTTTCACTACCGTGCCTCATAACTGCTCAAAAATAAAAAAAACCTAACCTAAATGTAACTAAAGAAAAAAAAGTTCTGACATGAAACTCACGTGCAGGAACCATGGAAAAAGCTGCCCCTTGGCTTTGTAGCCGCTGCTGATGATGCTGAGCAGCGTGTCCAGGACCATGGACATCCAGCTGGCAGTAGGCACAAACTCTGGGCCAGCCTGCAGAGATCAAACAGAGTTTGTACTATCAAAGTCCGACTCCGTTTCAGCTCGCCATGGTAAAGAAAAACCACAGGTTGGTATCGGTAGAGGAAATTGTAGCTTTCAGCCTCGTGTAAAAGCAGAAACATTGAAGCAGCCTCACCCCTATGCTGCCACTGCTGTCGGTGGGAAGGCTGTTCTCATACTTAGCAACGACAGCAGCCAGCCCACTCAGGGCCAAGATGGAGTTGCCCTGTACAACAGGACTGTCCCTGGGGAGCAGACGGGACCATCCACCATGAAGACATGTCTCAATACATCTGGGTCAACTTATATGCATCAGCAGCAGCATATAACTCACTTTGTAGCAGTTTTGATGATGTCTGTCAGCTGATCTCTGGCCCTAAACACAATAGAGGAATCAGAGTGTTAGAGTTCTGAATTAAACCCCTCAGGTTCCATTTGTCTATGAGACACCTGGCTCACAGAAAGTCTTTATTTTATTTCCTTTTTCTGCTGTGTTGAATTCACATAAAGAAATAAAAACACAGTGTTTATACCTTTACATCGCAAAGGCCAAAAACAAACAAAGTAATTACAATGGATAATAAAATAATTACATAAATTAATAAAAGAGAGCAAAACAAATATCTAGGAGAGTGATCCAAAAATGTTAAAAAGAAATGTCCTAAGCCCTTTTCTAAACCAGTCAGTGAATTGTGGTTCCCTCAGAGAATCGTATTAGGAGTGAAAAAGTTGTTTTGGGACAGTCCATAGAAGTGGAGCGACAGCAGAGAAGGCCCTATTTCCCATGGTCCTCTGTTTGGTTTTGGGTATATGGAGAAGATTTGAGTGGGTGGAGCAGAGTGAGTGAGTTGTGTTTTGTGGGTTAAGCAATTCTTTGAGATTGTTGGGGGCTTTTCCATAGATGCATTGGTTTGTGAGGAGGGAAATCTTGAATTCAATCCTGGTGGAAATGGGAAGCAAGTGGAGAAAGTGGAGGATGGAAGTGATGTGGTCATGTTTGTGCACCCTCATCAGGATCCTAGCTGCAGAGTGTTGGATGCACTGGAGCCTCTGCAGGCTCTTGCTAGGAATCCCACTGAGAAGTGTGTTGCAGTGGTCCAGTCTGGGGGAGACAAAGGCATGGAGAAGTTTTTCTGTGTCGGAGGGAGAGAACTTGCACACCCACTGAGTGAGTGGCAGACTGACTGACTGATTCACAGTTTGACTAATTGACTGACTGGTAACTTAAAAATAAGCGTCTTATTTTGACGGGCTTTAATTTATAAATTTCACATCAGTTCTGGATGGCATTTGCTGGGTGTTCTCTAGCAGTCATCCCCAACCACTGGGCCGCGGACTAGTACCGGTCCGTGGATCAATTGGCACCGGACCGTACAAGATATAAACATTTTCGTTTTGAGTATTATCTGAGTCTGGAGGATCTTTTATTTTGAAAACCCTTTAACCGGATTCTCTCGGTTACGTCTTGCGCGCCAACATTGAGCCCACAATGAGTAAGAAACAGATGTCTTTGGAAAGTTTCTTTGGAAAAGGGGAAAAAGACCAGAGGCAGGAGAATGGATTTATCCCGGACCGGTAGGTGAGTCTCAAATACCAAGTTCGCTCCGCATAATATGCACCGGCTCGCTAATCAAGCTTCAAACTGCATCGCCATGAAAGACCAAACACCCTCTGCATAAGCGACACTTCGGGTGTCATCGTTTCCCAGATAGGACCGTCTCGTTTCAGAGAAACAAGCTCAGGGCTCCCATTAATTTGTCGTTATCGTGAGTTAAAATTTTCATGAAAGTGAAATGTTCGTTTTTGTGGCACATCTGTATCTTATTTTGAAGGGATGTTTAAACGTTACCATACCGACCAGGGTCAGATAGCGTTAGGGCAGTGGTCGAGACGAGAGGAGTAGAACTTGTGAATCTTGGGTCTGGTTCACACGGCACGATTT